CTCCGGCTTAGAACTGCTAGTGCTGCCCAATCTGCCATCTTCTTGAAACACCTCCGGCTTAGAACTGCTAGTGCTGCCCAATCTGCCATCTTCTTGAAACACCTCCGGCTTAGAACTGCTAGTGCTGCCCAATCTGCCATCTTCTTGAAACACCTCCGGCTTAGAACTGCTAGTGCTGCTCAATCTGCCATGTTCTTGAGACACCTCCGGCTTAGAACTGCTAGTGCTGCTCAATCTGCCATGTTCTTGAGACACCTCCGGCTTAGAACTGCTAGTGCTGCCCAATCTGCCATGTTCTTGAGACACCTCCGGCTTAGAACTGCTTGTGCTGCCCGATCTGCCATTTAAACTAATGTAAGGCTTGCCCACCGAGGCAGCCAAAAACCCATTCATCCCTGCTGGCAGATGGGACCGGGGTGTTTAATTTCGCGTTACCCAACCCATAATAAAACTTATTATCAACACAATTATACAACTTCAAATGCTTCACTTTTTCAACAAAAAAATTAAAATGATAATAATTGTGTTTGTTAGGGTTGGGGGGGGGGTGTAATTTTATCTCTTGTCAATGCTGGCAGTGTTTCCATGTTGTCCTGTTGCCCTATTTTTTTTAAGCGACGCTCAGTCTGAACATTTGAAAATTCTGTTCACAATCTCACGGAACCGGCGGTTAAATTTATAGTAAATGATGAAGTTGCCGCTGGCTCCCGACACCTCAATGACGCGCCGAATCATCTGCGAGGTCAGGTGGATGTTGTGGTACCGCCTGAACGTGTCCATCTCAGGGACGATGGTGCGGGCGATGGACAGCACGACACGCGGGAAGTTGCACGTGACAAATATGGCCGAGACCAAGGTCACCGATTTGATCACCTGTAGCTCCTTAGCGGATATCCGGCTTGTCTTAGCGCCGATTGGCGTTTCCTGGCTCCCTAAAGACGGAAGGGAACCTTCGCTGGAGCACTCCGACAGGCTGTGAATGGACACGGAGTGACGAAACTTAGAGTGCCTGCGCAGACTCGTCGTCAATATTATCAAACACGAGACGACTATGATCTCACACGCGTTCTGCAGGATGATCCGAACGATGATATCGTTGGCGCTGATGATCTCTTCTCGGTCGCTGGCGTACCAAATCGTGTACGTCGACGCATTCGTGGCCGGGTTGGTTTTTCGCTGGAGCCCCTGCGTGGCGAGCAGCGGGACGTACGACGTCATGCAGATGACGATGAACGCGGCGATGACGATGCACGTTCTGGTCTTGGTGAACACGGATTTGAAATGCAGCGGGAGCGCGATGCAGCAGCACTTCTGAACGGCGGTGTACGTCGTGATCAGCATCGAGACGTCGTAGACCATCTGGAAATACCAGACGCCGAGGTACATCAGCGAGAACATGTCCACCGGCCAGCCGCCCGCGGGGACGCGGTAGAGGGTGTAGCACAGCCAGTTGTAGGCGGCGATGAGCAGGCAGACCATGTCCGTGACCGACAGCGCGAAGAAGGAGATCGTCACGGGGTCGGCGAGGCCGAGCTTGAGGAAGACCGCGATGTTGACGGCGTTGGCGAATATCCCCGGGAATAGGATGACGGCCTGCAGGACGATGAAGTCGATGAAGTTCAGCAGCTCCTGCAGCTCCGTGCTCATCAAGCCGGACAGCAGAGGAGTCGTGAGTAACGCCGTCGGGTTTTGTTCCGGATAGGGCGTGGTTACGTTTATCTGGTGCAGCAGGCCACTGGGCATTGACAGGGTTTCGTATTCATAAACATTTGGAAATGTGGAGACGTTGCTCGGATCAGTGGTCAAATCCATCTTATTCTTCCTGTAATTGTGTATTGCGTCTTCTTGTTGTGTAGAAAGCCTGTCTTAGTGTGCTGTAGAAAGTCTGTCTTACTGTTGTGTAGAAAGTCTGTCTTACTGTTGTGTAGAAAGTCTGTCTTATTGTTGTGTTGAAAGTATTACTTATTATTATGTAGAAATTATGTCTTATTGTTGTGTAGAAATTATTTCTTATTGCTATGTTGAAAGTCTTACTTATTATTATGTAGAAATTATGTCTTATTGTTGTGTAGAAAGTCTTATTTATTATTATGTAGAAATTCGGTCTTACTGTTGTGTATAAAGTCTTACTTATTATTATGTAAAAAATCTGTTTTATTGTTGTGTAGAAAATCTTACTTATTATTATGTAAAAAGTATGTCTTATTGTTGTGTAGAAAGTCTGTCTAATTTTGGTGTAGAAACTCTTCCTTATTATTAATATGTAGAACGTCTGTCTTATTGTTGTGTAGAAAGTCTTACTTATTATTATGTAGAAATTCTGTCTTACTGTTGTGTATAAAATCTTACTTATTATTATGTAAAAAATCTGTTTTATTGTTGTGTAGAAAATCTTACTTATTATTATGTAAAAAGTATGTCTTATTGTTGTGTAGAAAGTCTGTCTAATTTTGGTGTAGAAACTCTTCCTTATTATTAATATGTAGAACGTCTGTCTTATTGTTGTGTAGAAAGTCTTACTTATTATTATGAAGAAATTATGTCTTACTGTTGAGTATAAAGTCTTACTTATTATTATGGAAAAAATCTGTTTTATTGTTGTGTAGAAAATCTTACTTATTATTATGTAAAAAATCTGTTTTATTGTTGTGTAGAAAATCTTACTTATTAATATGTAAAAAGTATGTCTAATTTTGGTGTAGAAACTCGTCCTTATTATTAATATGTAGAACGTCTGTCTTATTGTTGTGTAGAAAGTCTTACTTATTATTATGTAAAAAATCTGTTTTATTGTTGTGTAGAAAATCGTAATTATTATTATGTAAAAAGTATGTCTTATTGTTGTGTAGAAAGTCTGTCTAATTTTGGTGTAGAAAGTCTTCCTTATTATTATTATGTAGAACGTCTGACTTATTGTTGTGTAGAAAGTCTTACTTATTATTATGTAAAAAATCTGTTTTATTGTTGTGTAGAAAATCGTAATTATTATTATGTAAAAAGTATGTCTTATTGTTGTGTAGAAAGTCTGTCTAATTTTGGTGTAGAAAGTCTTCCTTATTATTATTATGTAGAACGTCTGACTTATTGTTGTGTAGAAAGTCTGTCTTATTGTTGTGTAGAAAGTCTGACTTGTTTTGTCGTGTAGATAGTTGACCACATGGCTAACAAAAAGTAGAACTGTCTTACGATACTGTTACATGGTGTGCCTGTCTCTGCTCAGAGTCAACTGAAATTGATGTGTGTGTGCATGATGTCGACATGGCATGGCATTGATGTGTGTTTGACACGGCATGCCATCGGGTGTCATCCGTCGTGCATCGTTCTCGCAATCGTCTGCACACCTTTCCAAAAACAGCTGGTCTCGTGAGTACCTGGGAAATACACATATTGAATATTTAGATGAAGAGTACAAATCACTCAAGTCAAGGGTGAAACATTCATAGGCATGGGCGCCCGCAGAAAACTTTCTGGGGGGAGGGGGGGGGGCAAAATTTTTTTAGTAATGTTTTAATATAGTTTTAATTTACTGTAACGTATTTGTATGGTGAACGAATGGACAGGACATCAGCTTAGTTACTTTCTCTTTATTTTCTCTTTACTTTAATACATTTTTTGAGTATTTTTGTCTAAAAAATTTTTATCCAATCAATCCAGGGGGGGGGGGGCAAGTGCCCCACCTTGCCCCTACCTGCGGGGGCCCATGTTCATAGGGGTCATGTTGCCATTGAGTCCTCATGGAATATTTCCTACTAGGTCTTAACCGGGTGCGTTTTTTGTTGGGGTTTTTTTGTACACCGGGTCCCGGTATTTTGAGAAAATACCCCAGAGGGTCCACATTTGTTGTTTTTTTGTACACCGGGTCCCGGTATTTTGAGAAAATACCCCAGAGGGTCCACACGTTTTTTTTTAAAAAAAGATTTAACTTCTCATTTTTTTATTAATATCTAATCAACCCTATGTCACAGTGAGGGTGCATTGCCTTCTTCAACCGTTAGTGTCAAGATATAACCCACTGGCAGGAGCGTGCACTTGCCGGATCCCAGAGCTGAGATGGCGATGTACAAGAACCCATCGACAGAGGAGATACCACCATTGTTTTATAACAAAGACTTGGGGGGAAACAACAGCCGCAGTTAGAGACCGACAAATGTGATTTTTCGGATTTCGGCCGAAACCGAAACTAGGCCGAAAGTTAAAAATGAGTTTCGGCCGAAACCGAAGCCGAAACCAAAAGCTTGACGAGACTTTCGGCCGAAGCCGAAACTGAAGTATTTAGATATTTTGAAATTCGTTCACGCATACATTCTGCTTATATCGAAAATAATCGGGGAAAGTATCGATATTTACATGCTTTTTTATAAAAAAAACTATATAATCGTGAATATTAATAAATAATCACATAATGACTCATGAATACTTTGGCCTTTACCATTTTAATTTAAAATTAATTTTTTTAAAATTTCAAAAGTTTTTTTTAGTAGTATGATAGGAGAAAATTTAGAGGAGGGGGGAGGGGGAATTCGTGTAAAATAGACCCTTGAGTGCGCTTTGCTTTTATAATATAATGACAAAATAGATCATACAGCAACCATAATTATTGTGGCTCTAATAGAGCCAATAGTCACGTAAATTAAGTTATTAAGGCTATAGAAATATCACCCCCAGTGTCTCTCGGTTATCGTCAGACTAATACTTTGTGTTGTTATAAATTGAAACCCGATTGGCACATATCGTGACGGAAAATTCGGCTAAAAGGGTTGGTCCTCATGACGTTATATTCTGAGGTTAGAACTCGTTGCCCGCAAATCAAGAAATAAATCACCTTCTGACAAAATAAAACCTAGTAAATGTTCCTAAGTGAGATCAGAACTCAAAGGGCGATTTCCCGTGACAAGGTTTTTTTCTTTTTTCTTTTTTATAGCAGTTGTAATTTGAGTTAGCGGTCAGTGAACGGCACACATAGCAGAACAACGGCTACAGCATTCAGCGCTGGATCCACTCAAAGCGGAGTTGAAATGAGTATGTCCTGTTGTTAAGAGTTGAAACGAGTCTGTCCGTTCGTTAAGTGCGTCCAAGGTTAGTTCCTCTGTTCATCCTGTGATGTTGTCATGGCCCTTGGACAAAACAGCTTTTTTATCACCTTTGTCGAGTCAACCTTTCAGGGAAGGAACAGACCATGAAAGTCCACAAATGCAAAATGAAATATAATCCAATTGGGAATATTAGCGAGGAAAGGGGGAAGGGAATGGTTAAGATTTTTTTTTTTAAATATAATTCTTTGCAATCATGTATACCGGTATGCAAATAAAATTGCATGCATCTTTAAAAGAAAAAAAAAATTCCCGATTGCTTTATTTGAACAACGTCAACTACCTTTATCTGAACAGTGTCAACTACCAACATTTGAACAGTGTCAACTACCTATATGGGAAAACTAATTCAATTTCCCGTGACGGAAAGTAGTTCAACTTACTTTCACAGCCGTATCTATGCTGTGAAAGTAAGTTGAACTACTTTCAAATACCGTCAGTGGCTCTTAATCTATACCAAAAATGACCCACTTTTCCATTTTTTAAAGTCTATGACACATTTCTTACATACGCAGGAGAGTGGTGAATTAGCCCATTTCAAATGATCATTCTCGTGGATAGATCAATTGAACAATGAAACAAGAAGTTTTCTGATCACTAGGGGTACACTAATTCCTGTTTGAGACGCATCGTTCTGTGGTAATTGTGCACATATTATTTAACAAAATCAAACAAGACATTTCCTGTGTATTTATTCTTAGCAAATAATTGAATTTAAATATATTTATACAATGCCTAAATATCGTAAAGTTTTTTTCCCCCCAATCTAATTAATGCAATTACCAAAGTGCGTTCATTGCGTATAATTATTGTACACACCAAGTTCATTTAAGTAGCAGTCTAATTATTGTACCTACCAAATGCGTTTTATCCCGGTATGAACCAAGCTCGTTCTTTCTTCATAAATTTTTTTTTCCTAGACCCGCGCAATAATCTCGTTATAATTGCTTCTTGATTTAAAGATTGCTTGCGCGTTCAAAAAAACAAACACAGGAATTAGAGACAGGCGCGGGGTGACAGTTGTCTGCGGTAGACCGTCAATAATTTCAGCCGACGAAGACTTCTGCTGGGTGTCCACGGACGTCACGAGGCGGGTGGTGGTTCTATGTAGCCTCGAGCCCAGGGGTAAATGAGTGCATATGTGTGACGTTACATATCGGGAAAAGGGGTGGGGGAGGGCAGCCCGGCTGGGTAAAATATTGCGGCCTTAAGATACCTGATTTGTCACGGATAAATGTATCTGATCTTCATTGCATTTACAAAGAAATCGATGCTTATTTGATTAAAGTGGAGTGTGCGAAATGATAAACGAATATCACATTAGACGATGTTTAATGTTGTTTTGTTATTTTTCCTTTTCATTATGTGTATTATAAATAATTATAAATATGCATTTCATTGTACGCCCCCCCCCCCCCCCGTGAAAGGTTTACTGACTATCAAGGGACCCGTGTAGCTTTTTGGGCTTCGCCG